CCACGTTACTTTTATTTTTGCGGAACATAAGTTCGCATCTCGAACCTTTGTTTTTCGTCGTTTCTCACTTGGAACATCTTCTTTGCGTGTGCTTGATTTGAAGGGCTTGTTAAAACGGCATACGAAGGTTTTCCAAGAATTTCCATTGACATGATTTCTGTAGTTAAATTTCATCCAAACGTTCGTTACTAAAGGCCACCATTCGGCATCAAATTCTTCCATTGGCACTTCGAATGGTTGCTGAACGTTAAAAAGCAATGTGCGCCGTTGGTTGGGTGTTAAACTTGTTGTTGAGATGGGATTCGTCACTGCGGTTTGTTCAGTAAATAGTTGTAGAAGACCGGATGTTTGTAGTGAAAGGTCTTGCACAAGGTTCTCGTTTGTGTTAGAAAATATATGTCAAACCTGAGAGGAGTTTTCTTTATCGGAGATACTCTTTTTTTTTTTTTTTGAAGCGCAAATTTTAATTTTTTGTTTTTTTTTTTCGTTTGTTGTTGAAGCGCGAAATCTATATAATTTTTTTTTTTTAAAGTTTTATTTCGCGAGGGTGCTTAGTTTTCTTGTAGTATTTTTTTTTTATGAAGGTTTGTAGGAAGTTGTAAATTCCCGTCACAAACACATTTGTCTAGCGAAAGTTTCGCTTGTTGATTATTGTTGATTATCAAACATAATCTTGTTAAATGTAATCTATTTTTATATCAAGAAATTTCTTGAATTTAATTGGCCGTCGTCTTCTTATATAATATCTCTGGCTTTCGGATGGTCAGGCCGATGACTGTCGGATCACGTGATGGTACCTGGCTTTAATGGTTCCCTATATTTAGAATTGGGGCCAAACAAATATATAAACAAAGTAGTACAAACTCTGGATCAGGCCTGTATATATAAAATTTTTATATAATTTAAAGAATTTTAAAGACGTTTTTACTTATATCTTCTTATCTACTAGTCCGATTTTAATGAAATTTTACAAGCAGATGCACAAGAACCTGCTCTACAACTTTACTTATATCAAAAAATAATATTTACTTAGTTCAAAAAAAACTTTTTATTAGGCCTAAAACAGATTTACTAATATATTGTTTATATATTTGTTTATTCCCAATTCCAAATATGGTAATAATATAGCTATAGTGCCGATCTTATCCGGATTGGTAATTAACAATTTTTATTTTTGCGTCTGTGCGTTATTGTGAAATAACTTGTAGCTAACTCTGGGCCTCAGGTGCTCACGGAAGGCTTATTGTGAAGTCCGAGTTGTTTGTTCTGGGAAAGTAAAAGTGTATTATTTTTCTTATACATGTAATAATATTAAAACTTAATAAAGGACAAAGAGCAAGGTTTCAGTTATAAAAGCGAAAAAAAATGTATTATTCTAGTTATAGCAAAATTGTTTTTTTTCAATTTAGTAGATCGATAATTTGCACAATTTTTTTTTGCAATACAGGTATTTATTATATTTTGTATAAAAATTTTTATATTTCTCTTCTATTAATAATTAATTCAAAAAAAATACGACGAATGTAAAGTAGTTATCTATCTTGTATTCATAGATTTGTGGGATTCAAAAAACATTATGCATATTATTGATCCAACTAAATTGAAAAGAGCGATAATATATTCAAAAATTAATATAATGAGTAATATATACTATAATTATTATATACTGTGTATATTTTGACTATTAATCCATGTTTTATTCATATTCCATCGTTTATTTTTGTAACAGTCACAATATAAACAAAAATAATGTGATGTTGGTTCATTAATTCCCAATACAAGTGCCATAAACTTCCAATCAGAAAAAAACCACAAATCTATTTTCCAAGAATTTCCTTTACTATCCTCAAATCCTTGATTAACTGTTTGTTTTAATTCATCTATAAAAACACCAAAAGCTAATTGTAAAGATTTGAATTTTTCTATACTGGTATATAAACATATACTATCCCTTAGATTGTAGTAGAACACAGGCAAATTTGCCTGCGTTTTTGCACTTTTTTAGCTCTGATTTACTTTTTTAAAATGCTAAAATAATTAAATAAAACTTTGTACAATTATATTTGAAAATAAGAATTACTTTTTTGCAAAATTAGTTTTTATATTATAAGAAAATAAATTATAGTTACATATAAGCTGAAAATAGATAATTTTAAGAAAAAATTTTTTTAAAAAATTTTATTACAATTTTTCTGCGATCTTATTTAGTTTTAGTTTTAGAACTATAGTTCTTAAGACAATATTGTAGTTTATATAAAGGATGACGACTTTCATTATTGCAACTTTAATGATTTACTTGTAAAAATTAAGACTTGTATTAGAAGTAAAGATTTTTTTTATAGACTGGAACATATAAAATTTGAAAAAATCTAAAGAAAAATTTTAATAGTAAAAATGCCAATACAAGAACTTTAAACATTTATTATATTAAAGTTTTCTAATGATTTTAAAAAAAATTTATAACAAAGTTACTAAAACAAACCTCAAAGAATATTTTTTATTTAGAAAAGATATGGCTAAAATCAATATTTAAAATTTTATTAAAAATTTTAAAATACATAGGCAAATTTGCCTGTGTTACAATCTAAGGGATAATAAATAAAATTTTAAATTAATATATATAAGAGATTTGAATAATAAATAATTAATAATTACTAGTGTTGTTTTATAGGATCAAGTACACTATTCTCTTCATTTAAAATACAAACTGTAAACATTACATGATGGGTTGATCGTCCAACTTTACATTCATCTCCACCTAATTTTAATTTAATAACATCATCATAAGATATAACTGCTTTATTAACAAAAGTAGAAATAATAATTGATAAAAGTGCAGCAAAGATTGGTAAGCTCCATTTCCTATATCTGTTGGTAATATCTTAATATTATTAAGTGAATCTGTAGAATTATCTAGCGCTGATAAGATTCCAGATATAAATTTCGTATTAGGTTGGATTTGAAAGGTTGTTATTGGTATTTAATTATCCATAGCTTTATCAATAAGTTGGTGTCATTCTGCAGAAAAATTATTATTAAACATAAGTTTTATTACAGAAGCATATACATTGTTTGATATCTTTTTTATTGATACTAATCATTATACAAATTATAAAACAATATTTTCTAACAAACTATTTAATTGCATTTTTTCTTTTTTTGCTCTATAATAAGTATTACTTTTTTTGCATTTAATTTTTCTAGCATTTTATTTTTTCTTTAATTTCTTTATTCTATTCTTCAATCATCTCTAAAAAGTCTTTTTTCACTTTATCTTTTTTGTCTCGTATTTCTTTCAATTCCTTTTCCAAATTTTTAATTTCTATTTCATTCTTTCCGTTATGAGCTTGTAAAGCTTTATAATTATCTTCAAGTGTGGCATAAATTACTTCTAGATTTGAATGTTCTGTGAGAAGTTCATCATATCTCTTTTTGATATCTTTGAGTTTATTTTCAGATTCAGTGATCTTTGCTTCTAGTTCTTTATATGATGATTTAAGAATCTCATGTTCTGATTCCAGAACTGCATATTGTTTTAAGTCTTGTATAATCTTCATCTTTTAATGTTAATCTGCATTTTCAGTTTTTAAAATTATATTCTGTAATTCTAGAGCATGATTTCTTTCTTCAGTTTCTTTATTTTTTATTTTGTAATTTGTATTATCTGTTTTAGGATGTGATTTCTTTTTTTAACCTCTTTATTTTTTACTTTTAGATTTGTATTTTTAATTTCAAGAACGTGATTTCTTTCTTTGACCTCTTTATTTTTTACTTTTAATACTTCATTTTGTGCTATGAGAATTGAATTTTGTTTTTGAGAATCTCTCGCATTTGCAAAAAGTTTTATCTACATTAAAAGCAATTTATGGTTTAAATTTTAATAATAGTAAAAACCAAAGGAAAATTTACTTGTTCAAAGATTATACCAAATAAACCTTCGTGATACTATAAACAATAGATATTCCTGTCTTATAAGTGTTTGAAAGTAAAAATCTATAACATATTTATCATGTACTCAATACACTTAGTGATACAAGTCGTTATATGTAAAATCGACTTAAGAACTAGTCGGCTTAACCAAACCGATTTTTGCAAAGCCGACTTAGTCGATTGGGTAAAATCATTACCCAAAAAAATTTCAATCGATATTAAATTACATATATGCAATTGAGTAAACTAATACAATGCTCTCAAAAGTATAAAACAATACAGAAATATTAATACTAAATTGAAGAGCATGTTTAAATAAAACAATCTAATATCACGTAAATGGAAAAAAAATGTCATTGTGCAAATTGTATTATTTTAAAAATCGTAATCATAGCTCGTTGTAGGATAAATTTAAATCGTTTAATTATACACATCGATATTAACAAAAATCAAGTGTTAATCTAAGTGTAACTTGTTAATCTAAGTGTAACTCAGACTGTGATTGGTCGTTGCATGTCACGTGATATGAGCAAAATAAAGAAATCGACTTTTGGTTAATAGCCGAATTTTATAATCGACTTAAGTCGACTTAGTCAAGTTGATTTTTTAAGGTTGACTTGGTTTACTAAATACACTTACATTATTTGCTAGTCCAATTGTATCTCTGATGGTATTGTAATTTTTCGATCAAAAGCATAAGAAGGATAAATACCAATTTAATTAATATAATTAAAATTAATATAATATCTTAATAATATATATAATAATTCCTAATACAAAAAGTACGACAAACTTGGTAATATATTTTTTATTATCTTGATTACGATTACAAAAAATATTGATTGCTTGTTGTTGTTCAAAAATTGGACTTTGTCTTGTCTATACATGAGGACAAAACTATTTCAAGTTCTAAAACCCGAAATTAAAATTTGAAAACGAAATTGTTTTTAATCTATTTTACTTGAAAGACAAATTTATTTGATACTTTTTTGAAGGTAATTGGGATTAACTTACTCTTTCTATCGGGTAGAGGTATCTATCCTCTATCTGAGGCTTTGGTAGGGTAGCAGTATCCGGAGGAGGGGTTGAACCTTCAATTCGTGGTTATGACCCACACGTACTGCCATTATACTATCCGGACTTAGGTCAAAGAGTTACTTTGACTCGTATAGCGAAGGCTACTTCGCTTGTAATTGAGAAAGCTACTTATGGGCGTTGCCTAGCCCTTTAAAGCCAAAGAGTATTCCACTAGGGGGACTAGGTATAATGAAGAGAGCAGGGAAATTAAGGAGACAAAATTATAAAAAACGTATTTATATAAATTTTATTTGCTCTTCCCTATAAAAAATTTTAATTTTCTCTAATGAAGATGAAATAGAACTTTTTCAAAAATTAATTTCGGTGGTATCACTAGTCTTGTCATGTGAGAATGTTCCTCAAAAACTAAATCATTTTGATTATTAAATTTTGATTTATCAATCAATGTTGAGTTAGTAAAATTAGATTTTGATACTACTATCGTAAAAATAAATAAGACACAGATCTGCACAAATTTGCGATCCTAAAAAATTTTATCAAATTTTGCAATAACTTGTGATCTAGTAGTTCAAATTTAATGATTTTGGTACCATTTGATTCATCTCGATGAGACGGATTGAATAGTACCAAAATCATTGAATTCCAATTACTAGAACACAATATTTATGTGAATTTTATAAACATTAAACGATCTTGCCAAATAGTGGTCCAAATTTAATAATTTTGATACTATTTGATTCCTCTTGATGAGATAGTTCGAATAGTACCAAAAAATGTCAAAATTGGATCACTAGTTACCAAGTTATTCATAAAAAATGATTTGTAGCGCAGTTCTGCGCAGAAATTTAATTTTTTTTTAAATTTCTGCGCCGCAAATTATTTTTTATGAATAACTTGCTAACTAGTAATTCAATTTTGCTATTTTTTGGTACCATTCAAACCATCTTATCGAGAGGAATCGAATGGTACCAAAATTATTAAATTTGGACCACTGGTTGGCAAGATCATTTGATGTTTATAAAATTTACATAAATGGGATTTTCTTGTGTTCTTAGTAATTGGAATTCAACAATTTTGGTACCATTCGATCTATCTCATCGAGACAAATCGAATGGTACCAAAATCATTAAATTCGGACTACTGGATTACAAGTTATTGCAAAATTTGTTAAAATTTTCCAGGGTTGCAGATTTGTGCAGATCTGTGCCTTATTTATTTTCCTGATAACTAGTTGTGCATTTTCTGAAAACTGATTAGCTGAAGTTGAAGTCGAAGATGAATTTGTAGTTTTGATATATTTCTAATTCTTTTGAAAAATCTGAGCATTGACTAACTAATATTTGGTCTAATAATTCTATGAGAGGTTTAAAAATCAACGCTTGATCTGGTAAATTTTCAATTAACGTATCTGTGCTCCAATTAGAATTTGTAAGGATTCGTTTATTTTTAGTTTTTTTTTTTGTTTACGATTTCAGTTTTGATTCATTATATAATTCTATTTAAAAATATTTTTATTAAAAAATTTCTCTAACTTGAAAACTAATAAATTTTTATACCATTAATAAATTTTTGTACTACCAATATAAAATTGTCACCATATACATTTGCATCTTTAATACTTGTTAATAAAACATAAAATTCATGTGATTGTTTATTAAATTGTAAGTTTTTATCAATTTTCAAACTAAGAGGCAAGGTCAAAAAATGATGAAGATATTTTTGATAACTTTCAGGCGTTAAAGAGTTTTTGTTTAATTTGCGAATTTTGATATTATTCTTTATTACAAAAAGGTTTCAAATTTGATGTTGAGACTATTAGATCTCACTTTCTTTATATAACGATCAAACGAGTGGACACGTCTCCAAGCTAGATTTAATCAGTACATGCCTCAAAGATTTTTTCTGTATTTAGATTATGACCAAGTTGTTTAAATGAATATGAGCATATCAAATAAATTTTTAAAAAGAATTTATACAAGCTGGTAAATTTATACATAGAAATTATATAATTTTTATACTTATTTATAAACAGGATTTTAATGTATAAATTTCTAAATTAATATAAAAACTACCCTAAAAAAAACCTGTTTTAATTAAGTTCAATTCCATAGAAATTACATGATTTTCAATTTAACTATTTGCCCACCTGTATCAGGTTTGGAAGGATATCAGATTTGAAAATATCTCGTGACTCACTAAAATAAATCAACTATTCATATCTCAAAAGTTTCCTTACAAAACTGCCTTTTGTTAGGTTGTCTAATTTAACTTTTGCTATTTTGCGAGATGTAATTTTAGGCATTATCAAAAATTAATGTTCGAGTATTGAGACGGCCCTTACTTTAAATAAAGGTCAAACACAGTGAATGCGTTTTAAAGTTTGATCAAATTATTCATGCTACCATGGAAACAAATAATATGAGTTTATAAAATTTATTAATATTATAATTTGATGAAAATATTTAATGGAATCTCATATAAAATAAACTTTTCAGGCTTCAGAATCGCATATTTCAAACCCCACTTATGCATAGTAAAAATTTGGTTGTGTTACGTGATAGCTTTCTTTGTTAAAAATTAAATTGTGAATTTGTTAGTATCACATGATATATTACTTTAAGAAGTTCGCATGGGATCATCTTAGTCTAGATTTGTAAGATAAACTTTTCTTTGTTCTTACTAGTATTGTGTGTTATTTTACTTCAAAGGTATAGTTTTGACAAATGTAAAATAATTTTTCAGGAACAATCATATCTGATACTAATTATATTTGATACAGATTTATATAATCTTGTCTGATAGAAATCGCATCCCTTACTTTGTAGAGATTCGCAGGCAAATTTGCCTGTATAATTACTATAAATATACCTATGATCTAGTTTTTTAATCATTTAAGATATTTAAATAAAATTTAGTATTATAATATTTAAGAACAAGAATTATATTTTTGAATTATTTGAACTTATATTATAAGACAAAAAGTTTATATTGCTTATAAGCTGAAAATATTAAATTTTAAAGAAATTTTTTAACCAAAAAAATTTTACAATATCTTGGCGAATTCTTTAAATATTGGTTTTAAAAATATGTTTCTTATACAACTTTGTAGTTTATATAAAGGATGACAACTTTCATTATTTGACTTTAAATGATTTACTTGTAAAAATTAGAACTTGTATTAGAAGTGAAAATTTTTTTTATAGATGGGAACATATAAAATTTGAGAAAACCTAAAGAAAAATTCTGTAGTAAAAGTTCCAAAACAAAAACTTTAAACTTTTATTACACCAAAGTTTTTTAATAATTTTAAAAAAATTTTATAATAAAGTTGATAAAACAGAACTAATATTATATTTTTTACTTAGAAAGTATATAGCTAAAATTAATATTTAAGGTTTTATTTAAAAAATTTAAAATTTTAAAATTTTCGCAGGCAAATATGCCTGCATAACAAATTAAAGAATAAAATTTTGTGATGCTCCAAAAATTTATATGGATCATGATAATTGATTGATTTGAATTATACAATATCAATAAAAAAATAGTTTCAAATATATCCAAGCTAATTTAGAGTACAATTTATATTAGAAATATGTTCAAAGATAATGTAACATTCATATCTGATACTAATTATATGGCTTTTAGTACAAACTTTTCTGATAGAAATCATGTAAAATTTTTGTTCAAAAAATATCAAAGTTTGTAATGATTATCTTTTTTGAATTATACAATATTGATATATTGTAATTCCTGAATATCCAAACCAAATTTGGTACAAATTTAAAGCTACTCTAATTTAAAGTTCATAATTATAGAAATTACACAGTTTACTTTATCAATATATTTAACAATCTTGATTCAAGAATGAAAACCAGATAGAAATTAAACAGAATTGTAGACCTACTTTCAATACATATTTATAAACTAGTTAGTATAAAAAATTAAAAATGATATGTATTTAAGATTTGGCTGCTTTTGAGGAAATCTTTGGGCATCATGCTATATATTATATATTGCTATTTCGATTAACTAGTTTTTTTTTAATATTCACAGTACTGCATTAACCTATGTTAATTATCTTAAAACAGGTTTTTTTTAAAGTAGTTTTTTTTTTTTAAATTTCCTTGGTAGTATACCCAAGGGCGCTGTTGGCACTCTTTTATTAAGGTCATTGGTCATAGAGACCCACCGGGCCCCCCTACATTTTTATTATATATCCTAATTTCTATATTTATTTCTGTCCTACGAAGTCTATCTACCCTACTCCCTCTTCATCCGGTTTTCCTGGCCGACTCCAGCCAGACCATCATTTGGTGTGCCCCACCCGAAAGCTTCTTGGATCAACTTTAAGAAGTTAGTTTACTCCGCCGATATGCTTGTGTAGGTCCATTTTTCATCTACCCCAGGTACTTCCTTCTGAGTTTGAATCAGGTCAGGTTTTCCTCGTAGACTTTTTCCTGATTTGGTGTCACAGCACTGTATTTTTACCTTGCAACCAGAATTCCACCAGTAGTATCCTTTGTTCGACCGGAATTCCACTAGAAGTATTCATTTGTTCTACCAGAATTTCATCGGTAGTATTCACTATTTCTTTTTTTGTTCGGATCTTTACTAGATGTCCTATTTTCGTATGTCATATTTTTTCATAGAGCTTCCTAATGTGGTTATGTACCCGCACGTAGTCCTAGCATCCTGGCTCAGCCCATCCGTCTCGTGACTTCATGTAGAATTAATGTTTCTAGTGGGCTTGAACTGGCGATCTTGCATTTGAGGACCTGGAAGCGTAACCACTACGCTATCGACCCACAAGTCTAAAGTAGTTTTTATATATTGATATTAATTTAATGCCAAATTTAGCTGGCATTAAACATAAAAAAAACACACTCTAATAGACTTCAACACGAACAAACTTTGCTAAAATTTTTTTCAAGAATTTGAAGTATTTTTACATATCTATATTGTTAAAAATAATACAGATACTAGTGTTCTGACCTGAGTAGGTATCACATGGGTCACTTGCGGGTGGGCGGGTGACCCAGGTCGAATTATGGCCCACCCGAGTAGACAACCTGCGGGTCACCTGTGGGTCATCCGTGGGTCAAC